GATGTGGTTTCACCATGTTGGCCAGGCTGGTCTCAAACTCCTGACCTCAGGTGATCTGCCCACCTCGGCCTCCCAAAGTGCTGGGATTACAGGTGGGAGACACCGTGCCTGGCCCAGGAAAGTCTAATCTTCTAGGCCTCATTTGGCCCAGGAATGATCCTCTCAGGCTACCTCCTCAAATTCTCTCAGAGAAGTTTGGCTAGCTCCTTGGTAAGTCATTCCTTTACTCAACACATAACTTTCGAGGACCTACTACATGCCAGGCACTCTTCTAGAAGCTGGGACTAAAGTAATAAATATAACAGACAATACATTTGGCCTCACAGAACTTACAATCTAGTGTTGAAGACAGATAATAAGAAGACATATTAGTAACATATAAGAGACTATTTTAGAAAGACTGTGCTAAGAATAAAAAGAAGGAGCTTCTAAGAAAATATTATGCAAGAAAATAAAGAAAAAAAATAAGGATGGGTAATATAAAGTGTACATGGGATTGTTTGTGACCAGCAGTGGGGCAAGACAGGCATTTTAGATAGAGCAGCAAGGGAAGACCTCATGACTTTAGAGTGAAAATGTGAAAGAAGCAAAGGAATTAGTCATGGGGGTGTCCGCGGGGAGAGCATTTGGGGGAGAGAAAACCACAAATGCAAATATGTCAGAAGTGAGCCTGGCATTTTCAAGGGGCAGCAGGAGGCCACGTGGCTGGAGCTTTTGCCCAACAGGGAGAGAACTAGGAGGCTGGTCCTGGTGTCCTCGGTCCTAGTTGGTCACACAGCCTTGTCAGTCATGATGGCCTCCTCATGAAAACGAGGGCAACTTCTGTGAAGCTCTTATAACAACTTCTCATCAAAGGCATCTCTCACACAAGCAATGTGCTGCCCTACTTTGCTATTCTTGACCGTGCCATCACATAATAAGCAGGCGATCCATTATCCATACTCACTAGGCTCTATTGGAGTTCCACAGCCGGCACAGAAAAAATTCTGGGCTGCTACCACAAGGTCCCTCCTGAATACAAAAAATGATACTAGTTACATTTCAGAGAAGGTCAATGGAATATTTTTCACTAATTAGAAAAGAAATTGCTATCGTGACACTTTTCTCAACTAAGGGCCTTAACTTTGTCACCTTTCATTTGGGAAAGAAATAGATTTATTCAATACAATTTCTAGTTGAAATTTCTGGGTCTTTTAAAACTACAACTAATTTTTATTTCTTTTTTCCTGAGACAGGGTCTTGCTCTGTCACACAGGCTGGAGGGCACTGGCATGATCATAGTTCACTACTGCCTCAAACTCCTCAACTTGGCGCAAGTACTCCTCAGCCTCCTGTGTAGACAGCTAGGACTATAGGTACATGCCACCATCCCCAGCTAGCTTTTTTTTGGCTTTATTTATTTATTTATTTTTGTAGAGATACGGTCTCTATATGTTGCCCACACTGGTCTCGAACTCCTGGCCTCAAGTCATCCTCCTACTTCAGCCTCCCAAAGTACTGGAATTACAGGTATGAGCCACTGTGCCCATCCTTAAAGCTACGTCTCTTTAAAAGCTTCTGCTAGGCCGGGCGCAGTGGCTCATGCCTGTAATCCCAGCACTTTGGGAGGCCGAGGCAGGCAGATCATGAGGTCAGGAGATCTAGACCATCCTGGCTAACACGGTGAAACTCCGTCTCTATTAAAAATACAAAAAATTAGCCAGGCGTGGTGGTGGATGCCTGTGGTCCCAGCTACTTGAGAGGCCACTCCCTGGTCTCTGTAACATTTTTTAACTATAAGTGCTTTCCCGGAGATTAAATGTTCCTTTTTTAGAAGTTTATCCATTCATTTTTATTTCACACTGATTGTTCTGGAAGATAAAGAGGTCCAGTCTTTTAAAATTATCATAGGCTGGGCGAGGTGGCTCACACCTGTAATTCCAGCACTTTGGGAGGCTGAGGTGGGTGGATCACTTGAGCCCAGGAGTCCAACACCAGCCTGGGCAACATGGTGAAACCCCATCTCTACCTTTTTCAAAAAGGAAACAAATTTTTAAAAAATTATTGTATATAATTTTTAAGTTTTGGTATTAGCCACTTTAAAAAATCTCCTTTAAGCCTATTTAATTGTGAGTTGCTATGTAATATTTACAATTAGGCTTGCATAGTTGAATTCTCAACTTGTCAAAACTTATAGAGGCCCCAAAAGTCCATGGTAAACAAGAGGAAAAAAAAAAACCTAACCCAGAAAATACAGCCAACTTCCCTTTCCCTAAAACAAATCTTCCTGTGTTCTTTAGCATATGTATTTTTTTCACCTACTGCCATAGAGCGTCAGGTGGGATCTGTTACAATGTGATTTAAATGGATTGGAGGCCCAAGCAGCAGCCCATACTTACTTGAGTGGTGGATGAATATTAAATATGATTTGAAATCTAGGAGGAGCCCAGTCTTCAGTCCCTCTGATCCTAGACTTAAATTTAATTTCCTGTACAACATTCATACTGGATTCAAAGTTTTTTCGGACACGCTCTTCATTTACAACCTGCATAAGACGTAAAATGATTTAGGAACAACTTAAGCATAATTCAAAGAATTTAAATTAAAGGAACATCTAAATGTATTTCCAACAGTAAAATTTACCACGAAAAATTAATAGTGCTTTTAACTGAACTAAAGGACATACCAAGAGCCCTCCACATCTCTAAAGCCATCTGCAAAAGAATTGCTTTAAACACCACCCAGATGAGATCACTTTTCTTAGTATTTTTAGTTCATTTATTTCCAGACTTCAAATTTACTGTAAGTAGGTCATTTTGACCTGGAATGCATTTATGAATAGCAGAAGTCTTACCCCTCTTAGTCAACAGACTGACAAATGCTACCAATCAGAACCCCTATCATTATTAGTCTTCCCCAGAAACAGCTCTATTAAGACCATTCTCCTTGCTTATAAATGTTCAGTGCCTCCCCCCAAACCACTGGACCTTCCTACTGTCATTTAAAATCCAAACTTCTCAGCCGGTGCAGTGGCTCACGCCTGTGATCCTAGCACTTTGGGAGACCGAGATGGGCGGATCACTTGAGGTCAGGAGTTCGAGACCAGCCTGGCCAACATAGTGAAAACCCATCTCTACTAAAAATACAAAAGTTAGCCAGAAATTGCTTGAACCCTGGAGGTGGAGGTTGCAGTGAGCCGAGCTTGCGCCACTGCACTCCAGCCTGGGCAACAGAGTGAGACTCCACCTCAAAAAATTAATTAATTAATTAAATTTAATTTAATCCAAACTTCTCAAATTAGCATTCTACATCCTCCGCAATTTGGCTACCATCATTCAAACCTTATTTCCATAAAGAACAACCTCTCGCACACAAATAGTCACAAACGGGTATTATCCAACCGCACCAAATCACTCTGCTCAAGCGCATAGCATGCCCCTCTGCTTTTGCTGCAGCTCCCTTTTGCCAAGAATGTCCTCCCCCAACCTTTCTACCTGCCACAGTTCTGGCCAGCCCAATACTTAGCTCAAGTTCTGAAATCTGCAATCAGCCTTCCTACGTTCCCCCGGTAAAATTAAACACGCCCTCCTCTGCACTTCGAGGGCATTTTCCCTACCCCGATTTTAGCCTTTGTCATAATATTCTCCACCCCGAGAAGGCTGGCTGCTCTCTGACAGCAGTGAGCAGTGTGTTCCATGAGGGAACCAACATGTACTTTCCAGTGAGGCAGCCTGGTCATGACTCCTGCTTCACGGCTGACCAGCCCTGCTGGGAGACTGGGCCCAGCACTTAAAAATAAAAATAAGGACAGCCTCTACCTAATAGGATACTTATGAGGATTAAAATGTGGACTGCTGGCTGGGCATAGTGGCTCAGGCCTACAATCCTAGTTCTTTGAGAGGCCAAGGTGGGCAGATCACTTGAGGCAAGGTGTTGGAAACCAGCCTGGCCAGCATGGTGAAACCCTGTCTCTACTAAAAATACAAAAAGTTAGCTGGGCATGGTAGCAGGCACCTATAGTCCCAGCTACTTGGGAGGCTGAGGCAGGAAAATCGCTTGAACCCAGGAGGCGGAGGTTGCAGTGAGCTGAGATCACGCCACTGCACTCCAGCCTGAGTGACAGAGCAAGAATCCATCTCAAAAAAAATTATAAATAAAATAAAATAATGTGGACTGCTGAGCAGTCTCTGGTGCACAATAAGTACTCAATACATGCCAGTTTCCTCATTCATTTTGAGTCTCCCCTAATATCCAATGACCGTACAAGGAAACACAAATGTTTAAACTGAACAGGGCAGGCAAAATGAGGATTTAGGAACTTTCAATTCAAGGTCAATTTTTTTGATACTTACTATTGAGCCAGCTGCACTCAGGGAACCTGCCAGCTGAGAATTAACTAGTGACAGCATCCAGCACTTCCGGAACACGCGGTACAGCTCTTTGGCTAATAGTTCAGCAGAATTGAACTCTGGCTCATAAGTGACACTGAAATGTAAGAGATGCAAAAACCAGGAAATTATATTCATGAGGAGTATGTTCAGGGTCTTCCTGAGGTTTTCAACTGTTGTTCCCAGCCCCCAAAACTCAGAAGAGGCTGTCATATGAGATGACGCATCAATCACTCACCAGGTATCTTACTCAACATAGCTCCTCCATGTTCAATAAATAAAGCATCTTTTATTTACTGAGGGCACTAAGACTTAGAGGTGTGGTGAAGGAGCACTGGTTTTAGAGTCAGAAGACCTGCATTTGAGCCCTGCTTCTACCTCACAGCCTTCGCGTCCTGAAGCACATCCTGTATGAGTCTCAATTTTTATGTCTATAAAATTAGGTTTAAAAATTCATAAATACATGGTCGGGTGTGGTGGCTCATGCCTGTAATCCCAGAACTTTGGGAGACTGAGGCAGGCGGATCACCTGAGGTCAGGAGTTCAAGATGAACCTGGTCAACATAGTGAAACCACGTCTCTACTAAAAATACAAGAAAAAAGTAACCAGGTGTGGTGGCAGGCATCTGTAATCCCAGCTATTCAGGAGGCTGAGGCAGGAGAATTGCCTGAATCCAGGAGGTGGAGGTTGCAGTGAGCCGAGATCGGGCCATTGCACTCTACCCTGGGTGACGAGAGCAAAACTCGGTCTCAAAAACAACAAGAACAAAAATCGTAAATATACACACACATGCATATACAAAATTCGCCCAGCCTGTTTAACTGAAATGAGGATTAAATGAAAATGCATACAAAAGCCTTTTATATATTGTAAAACACTATAGAAACTTCGGGGGTGATTGTTTCAATTCTAGGTGTTAATATCCTAGATTCGTGGGAACAAATTATTGGAAGTAGTTGAAGTAGGCCCAGAATGTCAGAGGCCTAGTGTTCACACTGCCTCAGAGGTGACAGCCCAAGGGTCTATGTGCACTGTGCACGGAAGACAGATACCTCTTAGAGGAGTTGCAGGAACAGCTACAGGTTTCTGCGATATCATTAAAATCTCCAAGCTCTGTGGGAAAATAAAAGAAAGAGTGGTGAGGTCATTTAGTCTGTTTCATTTCATCGCAGTCCATTTTATAAGAACACTAAAATCACTCCCTGCATCTCAGAAAGAGCAAATTATTCAGCATCTCCATGTTTCAGGTTCTGAGAAATGGACAGAACAGATAATGAGAGTACAGATAATGATCAAAGATGGGATTTCATCTGAAATTTCGCCAAAATATAACTGAGAGGCCAAGGAGATATCAGACCACAATGAATATCTGTTTTCTCATTCAACTCTACAAGTGAGATGGAAGATTAGCTATCCAGACATTTGAAACAAGAACACCCATATATATATAAATATATATATAAATATATAAAAAACATATATATAAATATATATATTAGGGACATAACCTGATTTTGGAAGAAGTTGATTCGAATGCCACTGTAGCATAGTATTGTGTGTGATGTATGTTAGTATGTGTATGTGGATGGGATTGGGGAGGCAGCCAGTCACATCCAAGTAGTTTCCAAATCTTACCTAAAATAACAAATTCATCAATGTCGCATTGGCAAATCTCTTTCACATCATGGTAAGTACGTGTTTCAGTCACTGGGCTGACCTGTAACACAGCACAACCTAGACAAAGAAAGGAAGGAGGTTTTTACCAATAAGAAGAAAAACTGTACAACCTGCAACACCCAACTAAATAGAAACTGGGAAATGAAGAGGGCTAAAAGTTTAAGAGAATTAAACATTTCAACTTAAAGAATTAAAAAATTAGGGAACTGTTTGTGTGTGCTTTTTGCATTCACTATGATTAAGTGCCTGTAATCCCAGCTACTCAGAAGCCTTTCATCACAAAGAAGCTATTTGCAGTACATCCAATGTTTTAAAATACTAAAACACTGAAAGCACCTAAAAGTTTAATAATAGGAAATTGATTTTGCAAATCACACGATTAAATACTATCATTTAAAAATGTAAATCTGCCAGGGGCAGTGGCGTGTTCTTGTAGTCCCAGCTACTCAGGAAGCTGCGGTAGGAGAATCACTTGAGCCCAGGAGTTCAAGTCCAGCCTGGGCAACGTGGCAGAACACTGTCTCTACAAAAAATACAAAAAAATTAGCCCAGTGTGGTGGCCCGGCCTGTGCCTGTAGTCCCAGCTGCTCGAAAGACTGAGGTGGGAGAATCACTTGAGCCTGCAAGGCGGAGATTGCAGTGTGCTGAGATCATGCCACTGCAGTCCAGCCTAGGTGACAGAGTAAGACCCTGTCTCAAAAAAACAAATGTGAAAACTAAAGCAACATGATTATTAATACTATTAGTATGAATAGCATTAATACTATTAATACTGATAATAGTATTAATAATCATTATATGATTAATTACATTGTTAATATAATTATATAATCATTGTAAATATAAATTTGTAAAACTGTCTTCATTTGAATAAACATAGGAGAGAAACACAGAAAAATGAATACAGTTGTTTAGGGAAATAGTCTAGCCCATAGTTTACATAGAAGTTATGTGGGCTGGGCATGGGGGCTCATGCCTGTAATTCCAGCACTTTGGGAGGCTGAGGCAGGTGGATCAATAATTTGCTCTTTCTGAGATGCAGGGAGTGATTTTAGTGTTCTTATAAAATGGACTGTGATGAAATGAAACAGACTAAACAACCTCACCACTCTTTCTTTTATTTTCCCACAGAGCTTGGAGATTTTAATGATATCACAGAAACCTGTAGCTGTGCCTGCAGGTTTCTTGAGACCAGCCTGGCCAACATGGTGAAATCCCGTCTGCACTAAAAATACAAAAAAAAAAATTAGCCAGGCGTGTTTACAGGTACCTGTAGTCCCAGCTACTTGGAAGGCTGAGGCTGCAGAATTGCTTGAACCTGGGAGGCAGAGGTTGCAGTGAGCTGAGACTGAGCCACTGCATTCCAGCCTAGGCGACAGAGAGAGACTCCGTCTCAAAAAAAAAAAAAAAAAAAAAAGTTATATGAAGGATTTTGCAGTAGGCTGGCTGACTTTAAGAACCCATTCTAGCTGGGTGACTATGGACAACCACCGTTTCCAGCTGCAGTTTCCTCATGGGCAGAATGGGGGTAAGAGCGCCCATCTGTGTTTTTCACTGTCTTTTGCCCATCACCCATAGTAACATATAATTTACATTGTGACTTAGTACAGACACAATAATATGTTTAACTGATAAAAAAACAAAAAACTTTCGGGAAACATTGCTCACCCTCAGCAAGATGCACTCTGATACTTTCTACTCTTGTTTGTTTCTTTTTTAATGTTCTCAGGACCAACTGACAGTTTGAGTAATACCAACCCACCTCATGGAGGAACATCTATTGCCACAAATGTCACAAGAGAAATACTTAATACAAGATAAATATTTATATTTGGAGGATAGAAATGTTCTTAATTTTCATTTAACATATTCATATTTATTAATGTTTTCTTAAAGTTTCAGCTACCATCAATTTCTACCCAACCACTATTTATAAAAATACCTGTTTCAGACAAGGCATCATACTAAACACAAATGCGAACAAGACAATGTCTCATCCATCTAAGAGTTTAAAATCTCACGAAGGGCTGGATGTGGTGGCTCGCGCCTGTAATCCCAGCACTTTGGGAGGCCGAGGCAAGTGGATCACCTGACGTCAGGAGTTTGAGACCAGCCTGGCCAACATGGTGAAAGCTTGTCTCTACTAATAATACAAAAATCAACTGGGTGTGACGGTGTGTGCCTGTAATCCCAGCTATTTGGGGGGCTGAGGCAGAAGAATGGTTTGAATGTGGGAGGTGGAGGTTGCCATGAGCCAAGATCATACCACTCCACTCCAGCCTGGGCAACAGAGCAAGACTCCAACTCAAAAAAAAAAAAAAGTCCCATGAGGGAGCTGATATACTACCAGACCTAAATCACACACACGCACAAAACACAGTTGCATTGCATGGGCCTTGAGAAGTTCTGAGGCAGGGCTCTGCACTACACAACTCCAGGGAAAGCCATGCATGCAGATGGCACTGGAGCATTCTGGAGCACAACCTGTGTTTCATTCCACATGGATGATGCCCCTCCCCTGGGATACAAACCAGGGAGCATGTTACAGTGACAGTGGCAGGAGATTGCTTCTGAAGGATGGGAAGAATGAAAGACCTGATGTGTGGTTACTGGGGGAACCCACATTTCAGGACATCCTTCCCAAAGCCATGGGGGGAAATGTCTGCCAGCAACTATACACAGTCTAGTTCAACTACAGCTCACCATCCGGCCAAGGGGAATGGCAGGAGATTCCTGTTTAAAAGGCAAGAAGCAGCCAGATGCCACAAGGCTAAAAATTCTAGAATAAAATGTGGCACAAGGTCGGCAAGCCATTATAGAGGACAAGAAGTTGTGATCCAGGAAGACAGATATGTGCAGGATAAACTAGGGGAAACAAGTTGAAAGGAAAGAGGGAAAATTAAACCAAATCAGTTTTGAAGAACTAAATTGTAGTTCTTACAAAATGACTAGCCAGAAGGCTACTGCAGCGGGCCAGGTAAGGGATAGAAACAGGAAATGGAAGGAAGAGAAGTGATTATGACTGAGAAGTCAGGATTGATTTGTTCACTAACTAGAAACGGGACAGGAGCACAAGACCAAGGAAGAAGAAAGAGTCCAAGAGAGAGCCCAGTGTACTAAAACAAGAATTACTTCTCCACCCATATTCATTTTCTCCCTACTGGTAGCCTCAGAAGGCATGATCGTCCATATCACATTCCCCCAGCCCTCTGGCTGCATCTGACCAATCAGTCATGGACATCCAACCAAAGCAAGGCCCATCAGGTGCTCTGCCCTGGGATCTGGATTGAGGGTCCTGCAAAACTGAGTTGTTGAGCTGTGAGGACCTGGCTGAGTAGTCAGGAAGACTACAGAGCTGAAACTAGATGCCAGGGGTGGGTAGAAGTAGGTAGGCTACAGAAAAAGAATGAAGCAATTGCTAGAAAAAGAAGAGGTGAGAGGCTTAAAGTCCGCGAAAAGATAGACACTGGAGCTATGTCTATACTGGTCAGATGTGTTCCAGATATATTTCCCACAACTGGGTTCAGTGAGAATGTTCTGTATCTTAAGACAAAACAACCCTTTTAATTTGAGCCAGTTAGTGCATTCAACAGGCATTTGATCGTACACCTATTCTGGGCCAGGCATTATGCTACACAACATATGGAGTGAGTTCTTCCTCTGTTATTGAATATTCCTGATTAACGTGTAGCAAAGGAAGTCAAGAAGAAAAGCAAGCTTTAGTGGTTTTCTTTGGAAGGAAGAGGATTGTGAGGGAGTGATGGAGAAATGACTAGTTTAGACATATTAAGTTATAGGTTAACTATGCCCACCTTTATGTTGCAGTGAACATATGTGAACAATGAATAAAATGAAGCATTTTAAGTCACCCAGAAATGAAGTATTAAGTCAGAGGTCCTGAGGGATCAGCCAGATGGACAAGGCTCCAGCCATAGACAGCAAGCACTTAGAAGAGATGTCCAGGACTGAAAACATAGATTTGCGAGATAATAGCTGGGAAGGAATAATTGAAGGTGATAATTGAAGGTGTATAGTAGGTTAAATATGCCAGGAAGCAAATACAGATTTCAAAAAAGAATATAGGACTGGAGGTAGGACTTAGGAAATGGTAAGAAAGGAGCAAACCCTAACATGAGCTAATAGCTTAAGCACTCGTCCGTCGGGGAAGAACCCCTGGGTCCTAGAGTGAGCCGAGCCGTTCCTCCTCAGTGACGGTGATGCACTGTGCTGGGTCCTTGCCTCTGTTCTACAAGTTACCCCACAGGGCTTCCAGGTCCCGTGCTCCAGCATGCAGGCTCCTTGATGGAAGGAGCACACCCTGTGTACTGCTGATGCTCAGCACCTAGCATGACACAGGCTCATTACTGAACAAAAAAAAAGAAGACTCGTTGGAAAAGGAAAGATGGTGTAAGAAGAGCCAGGAGAATGCCATGTGACAGAAAACAAAGGAAGAGGAGACATCAGCCACTTTTATTTCCAGTGAAAAAGAAAAGTAGGATGAAGTCCAAGATTAAAACAAAAAACAAAACAACAACAACAACAACAAAAAAAAACCATAGGATTTGACAACTGAATGGAGCATGATAACCAATCCTGACCCAAGACAGCAGAAATGGTGAGGATTACAGAGGTTACTCAAGACATTTTTAGACAAAGGATTTAAAGACATACATGTGTCCTCCTTTATCTGCAGTTTCGCTTCCCGTGGTTTTAGTTACCTGCAGTCAAGTGATCCAAAAATATTCAATGAAAAGTGGCAGAAATGAACAATTCTTAAGTTTTAAACTGTGCACCACCCTGAGTAGGATAATGAAGTCCCACACTGTCTTGCCATGTCCCCTCTGGAACATGAATCACCCTTTGTCCAGCATACCACACTGTATATACTAGTCACCCACTAGTCACTTAGTAACCCTCTTGGTTACAAGAACAACAAAAAAAAGTAGTGTATGTAGGGTTTGGTACTATTTGAGGTTTCAGGCTTCCACTGGGGGTCTTGGAATATATGCCCCGTGGATAAAGGGGAATTACAGAGGAAATGTACGTGAAACACATGACATACAGCTTTCTCGTATTTGCCCAACTTGCCTTCATAGCCACTGTATGAAGAAGGGGAAGACCCAGACTCTTGCTTTATGTTGGTATCAAAAGTCACGTCAGAGTCAGGCTGATCACTCCCAAGTAACCCACTGGCTTCTTCTTTACTCCAGTTCTCTGTCTGCTGTGGACTCAGAATGTTCCACTTCATTTTCTCCATTGCTGATATAATCATATCTGCAACATGAAAGTGGGCATTTTCCTGCAGAAAAAGAAGTCAATTAAAATACACGCATAATCAACTTTTTTTCGTAGAGGGTAGATGAGATTTGAAAAATCAAGGCGTTCTATTTAAGTGGAATTAATGCATATCAATATAAATATTTATTTAACTGAGTTGTCATAGGTCCCTCTATGACTTATAGCACACATTGTCCAGAGCCGTACATTTGGCTTACTGTAATCAACGGACAACTCAAGTTGGATTTCTTGTTATACAAAACCTTAGGCTGGGGGAAGCCTAAGCCAGACATCATTTATCAATCACAGAAAACTTTCCAGCTGAGCAGAGGCACTGCCTTGGAACCCTTCTTAGCTTAGTGTTTCTAGCAGTCTCTATCAATGAAATGCTGAGGCCAGGCGCGGTGGCTCAAGCCTGTAATCCCAGCACTTTGGGAGGCCGAGACCGGCGGATCACGAGGTCAGGAGATCGAGACCATCCTGGCTAACACGGTGAAACCCCGTCTCTACTAAAAAATACAAAAAACTAGCCGGGCGCGGTGGCGGGCGCCTGTAGTCCCAGCTACTCGGGAGGCTGAGGCAGGAGAATGGCGTGAACCCGGGAGGCGGAGCTTGCAGTGAGCTGAGATCCAGCCACTGCACTCCAGCCTGGGCGGCAGAGCGAGACTCCGTCTCAAAAAAAAAAAAAAGAAATGCTGAAAGGAAACCTATTTGTAATGCTTCATCAAATTGAAGTTTCCAGATTAAATCAGAACAACATTATCTAAAGAATTAAGACTCTATGGTTAAAAAGAAAGAAGATAGTACTCACCTTTTCTACATCAACAGGCAGCACAAATACTTCTGGTGAGAAGGAATTCAAAGAAATGGTTCTTCTACTGACTTGAACAGCATCTGCCAATATAGCAAATTATTAAAAAATGGAGAAAAGGGAGTTTAAAGATTACCTAATAAAATAAAACAATTCTAGGAAGCGGCTTTTAAATAATGTAAAAAAACAGTAAGCACAATTCTAGAATAAATTAAGATGACAGACAAAGAAAGACATGGCAGGTCTTACAGATACTGCTTTAATGATGGTCATTTCTAGGAGAGGCTGTTGGAGCAACTGGGAGGTATCCTCAGCCACCAGAGTGGAGGAGACCAATGAGGAAAAGGGTAGAAAGAGAATATGGTCCTGGGAAATCCCAACAGGGGCTAGGGTAGGGTGAGAAACCACAGTCCAGAAGCAGGGTCCTAAGGATTATGAGATCGCTTCTCTAACTCATTGTGATTGACCTTAAACTTCCTTTTTTTCTTCTTCTTTTGAGACAATATCTCGTTCTGTCACCCAGGCTAGAGTGCAGTGGTGTGATCACAGTTTAGTGCAGCTTCAACCTCCTGGGCTCAAGCGAATCTTCCACCTCAGTCTCCCTAGCAGCTGAGACTACAGGTGCCACCATGCCCAGCTAATTTTCTAAATTTTGTTTGCAGAGATGGGGGTCTCATTAGGCTGCCCAGGCTGGTCTCAAATTACTGGGCTCAAGTTATCCTTCCACCTCGGCCTCCCAAAGTGCTGAAATTACAGGCATGAGCCACTGCACCCAGCCCTAAACCTCCTGTCTAGAGAAATAAAATCCATCCAAAAAAAGGTCAGCATTGCTTCTCTAAGATAGTCTTCTTCCAGTCAAAACCAACAAACTGCAGAAGGTACATTCTGCTGACACATCCATTCCTGCACCCTTAGCCACTCCATTACTAGCAATGACCACCATCAAAACAAACATTTTTTCTGTCATGTGATTTCTTACTGCAGCATTTAAAGCAAAAATTTCTGTGTCAAGAGCTGAGATGTCCCAACCTGCTAAATTAGAACAAAATGCTGCACATGGTGGTGACACAGCTCTCAGCGTGATGGAGCTGCAAGCAGGATCATTCAAATCCTTTGCTTCATGTTCAAGAAAGTAGTTGTTGCATGGAAAAACTTGGACTTCTTAGCTTCAGAAGCTATGGGTTGGCAAACCTTTTCTATAAAGGGCTAGGTGGTATATATTGGAGGATCTGAGGGCCATACAGTATCTGTTTCAACTACTCTATTCTGCCACTGTAATGAGAAAGCAGCTATAGACAAAAGAGAAATTCATTTATAAAAACAGGAAGCTGGCAGGATTTGGTCCACAGGTCATAGTTTGCAGACTCTGAGTATAGAGGAAAGAACACAGAGAAGAATTGAAACAGAGTAGATTCCAGTTCCAGCTGTCCATTCACCGGCTGTGCCTCTGCATCAAAATGCTCTCAGCCCTGAAATTGGGATATTTATCAGGACATTAAGGAGATAAAGGCAGGTGAAAGCGCTTGTGAACGTGTAGTTCCTACGCAAACCAAAGAAACTGTGGAATCCCTTCCTACAGTCTCAAGAAATGCTTACAGATGCAGACAGTCTTTCCCTAAAGTATTTCCCCCCCAACAAAAAAAAAAAACCAAAAAACCCTTTTGCTGCCATCTGAGATGCAGCGGTCATAGGAATATCCACGTCTTAGTGGCCAATAGCTGTTTTCCCTATTGCTGCCTCCACACCACAGAAAGAAAACCCGATCACTCAGGGCTTCTTTTTCTTACTCTTATAGAATGAATCCCCTCTCTGAG